ATGATGTTTTAATTTTTAGTCAAAATATTGAACAACATTTTAAACATTTAAGAATTTTTATAAATGTTGTTAAAAAAGCAGGACTTGTAGTTTCTGCTAAAAAAGTTAAACTTTTTCAAACAGGAATTTGTTTTCTTGGTCATAATATAAAAAATGGATCTATTATTCCAATTGATAGAGCCATTATTTTTGGTGAAAAATTTCCTGATGAAATCAAAGATAAAAATCAATTACAAAGATTTMTAGGAYGTCTGAATTATATTTCAGAATTCTGTGAAAAATTAGCTTATATAGCTAAGCCTTTATATGATCGACTAAGGAAAAATCCACCTGCTTGGACTAAAGAACATACTTTAGAAGTCCAACAGATTAAGCAATTAATCAAGGAAATTCCTTGTTTAGCCATATCTAATCCAAATGCATTCAAAATTGTTGAAACTGATGCATTTGATATTGGATACGGTGGAATACTTAAACAACGCCTAAAAGACAAAGAACAATTAGTTCGATACACCTCTGGTTTATGGAGAGGTCCTAGAGTAAATTACTCAACTGTGAAAAAAGAAATTCTTAGTATTGTATTAACAGYACAAAAATTTGAATCTGATTTAATTAATCAGAAATTCCTAATTAGAGTAGATTGTAAATCTGCTAAGGAAATAYTATTCAAAGATGTTAAAAACATTGCCTCTAAGCAAATATTTGCTCGTTGGCAAGCTATTATGTCTATATTTGACTTTGATATTGAGTATATTAAAGGGGAATCTAACCATCTACATGATTTCCTTACTCGTGAATTTTTACAGGGAAAACATGTCTAAAAGGACAGATAAAGGAAAGGAAGTCTTAAAGACGACGCCTAAGACCGTCAAGAAAGATGTCAAGAAAGACGTCACCACATCGTTTAAAACGATCACAATGACTGATGCTAATCAAGCCAAGCGATAGAAGATCAAAGACACTCCTAAAGAGGAAAAGCTTAGAGATGATGCTTACAAGCTAGCCTTGGCAGCAAGTTATCCTGGAGAATATATTTTCCCATATATTCCGATTTCAACAAAATGGGTAATACCCATTGAAAACAAATATATGCATCTTCAACCTAATGAGGTTGTATCATTTTATTTTAAAAATAATGCTGACTCTTTTGTTTATTCAAAAGATTATCAGTACTTTCAAGATATTCTTGTAGCCACTAGGTCTGTAGAATTCGACTCTACTGAACGATTTGGAGGTGAAGTTGCTTATAGCAAAGCAGTACTTCATAGGGTAATTCGACCCGATCAATGGACTGGTGATTTGTTTAAGCCTTATGAAATCACTCGACAATTAAGGCATAAAAATGTCACTTTAAATTTCAATTATTTTGATTATATCAATGCCTGGGAACATGCTTTCTATTATGAGAACAAGCAAAGAAAATTTTCTTGGTGGATTCAGTTTTCTGCTTCTTTTAGCAAACCAGAATTACCAAATTGGTTTATAACCTGGTATACACAATGGGGATTATATCCTATTTGTCTTCCTGACAAAGTCAGAAAAATTTATGAAGATTTTGTAAAGATTAATACATCTTTATCAAATCCTTTTATGTGGTTTACAATACTTTATCAAGTACCCTGGATTATTCGTTGGGAACCCATTATTTCCTTACGCAATTTATCTAAACTTGGTGAAGAAGTTAAACCCATCCCTTATTTGGGACGAACAATTTTGATCAAATGGTGGATAAAATTCAATTTCTTTGAAAACTCAGTGTTTTCTATTAGAGGGTTAATTGATCTGGAACCCCCGAAACCACCGAAGCCAGATGTCCAATATATCTTTAAAGAAATTACTTCAAAGATCTCTAAAGAAGATTTGGTGCAAATCATGGTTTTATTAAAGCAAAATGAAGCAGGCCCTGCAAATGCCGATTTAGCATCCTCTCATATGTCTGAAGATGAAGCGGCCGTTGATCTAATGCAAGACTCACAAGATCCTTTTGATCTGTAAGATGGATCCTTATGCAGCTAGAATCCGTCGAGAGCTAAAAGCCGTAAAAGAATCAATAGCACAAGTTGATTCATCCATTGATCATTACAATCAAATTGTGGAACATGAAATTGCAGCAGACAATTACAATTGGAGAAATGACGTCCAATTTTTACGCTGGTTAATGTTCTACAGAGCTCAGTTGAAATTTCAACAAAGGCAAATTTTTTCTCGCGCCTTCTAGATAGTAAGACGTCATGCATGACGACTTTCTTCTCGATTCTTATCGATGGTGGCGGGCCCCAGTTCTATCATTCAGTCACATAATTGAAGATATTGGAGGGACCCATTGCTTATTTGCTGGTTTATTTTCAGCCGTTTCTTTAGATAGTGGATTGTTAGTGGTCGGCCCCACACCGACTTTTTTCTTGTATTTATAGATGTTTAGTTTTCATTTCTRRACACGCTCAATCTTAGTCTGTAATCTATCTTCTACTTCTCTCGTGTAATCTATCTTCATTAGAAATAAAAGAAATAGTTTGTAAATACTCTCTTTAATCGATCCTGTCATCCTGTCATCCTCTTGGAACTAAACGTCTACCAAACTGCAAGAGGCCTTTTTTGAAGTACGTAGAGAGTAGAACTAAAGTTATGTTGGGATAACTCATCCTGCCCCAAATCTCTGGAGTTCTAGTAAAAAAATGCAAAAGACAGTCAATCAAAGCAGAAGAGGATCACCCTTGGTGTGATCATTGTCAGATAATCAGTGCATTTCATACTTACCATAACTGGTGCTCGGTGGTTTTTATTATTAGTCGATGATTATAATGTTGGACATTTCCTGCTTTTAGACCAAGGATAACCAGGGGAGATTGTACACTTGTACAAGCTGAGAAAAGCATTGTACGGACTTAAACGGTCCCCTAGAGCATGGTTTGACTGTTCACCAAGGTCTTCAAATGATGGATACTCCCAAACACAGACAAATCCCACTTTGTAGAACTCTTCACAAATGAGAGAATCAAGGATTTGAAAGTGTACATTGATGACATACTTCTCAGTGGGAATCATGAAAGAGAAATGAGGAGGCTAAACATGCTATTCTCCAAGGAGTGCAGTATTCAAGACTTGGGATTTCTGAAATATTTCTTGGATATGGATGCAACATAGAGTAGTCAAGAAATCTGAGTCTCTCAACAGAAGTATAATCTGGACCTATTACCTGAAACCTGTAAGATTGGGGGCAAACCTGTTAAAACTCCTATAGATCCTAACACCAAACTAATCCTTGGCATTTCTTAGTTTCTTCACAAACAATCAATAGATCATTCGAAGAAAATAAGAAGCTCCTAAAATACTTGAAGGAGGATCCACGGAAGGGACTATGTTCAGGAAATCAGTCAATTAGAACATTGGCAGTTTTGATGTTGTTTGGGTTGGATCTTCTTGTGACCAAAAATCCACATTTAGATATTGCTCATTTATTTAGTTCCGTGTAATAGCAGAAAACAGACGCTGGAAGCAAGTAATGTCAAGGCTTTGTTCCATGCATTATCATTGGATGGTTATGAAACAATTTGGTTTTCCGTGACCACTAAACGAACTTAAGGTTGGAACTTTAGAATCTATCAGGATCATGTGTGACAACCAGTGCTATTGCCCAGAATCCAGTCCATCATGATAAACGCATGTGAAGATCAACACAAATTTCATCTGAGAAAACTCAAAGCAAAACAATCTCACTCGACTACATACCATTATGACTGCAACTTTGTTTCGGTCCGATCTCACTGAACTATGCACTATACTTGGTTAAAGAACATATATCGGCATGTGGTTGGACGTATAATGCTGTATGCTTATTCTTAGAGCATTTGTTACCTAAAATATTGATTTAGATCCTCATTATAAAGCCTATCAAAACCATATGTATAAGATATTGTGCGTATGTATATATGTATTGAGTCAAACAAAAAAGCATTTTCACATCTTTCATATAGGTACAGAATCCATGACTGTTTTTGCATAATGCTAGATTAGACATCATCTTTCAGATGCACTGTGCAAGAAAATTCTAGATCCAAATTGTGCTCTCCATGAAGGTTATAGAGAAGGAAAGAGATAAAAGCAAATGCTAACTGTAGAGTATATTGTAAGCCGGTAAATCTTGTATTTGGTAAATGTCTTCCAATGATAGTTCTCTCTCCAATTGTGTTCGTGTAACTTTTAGTACTTCCTGGTAGCCATTAGACAGTGCATCAGTACAGAGGATTTACCCATAAATTCAAGATCCATGAAATACAAATTCAAAGCAATGGTTAAATCTAGTCTTCCCCCTACCCCTTTTGAATCCCATCCCAATGTTGAGTATCAATTCTAAATCTACACTACATCTATCCCAAAGGAAAAGTTTACATTTAAGATGTGTTATATATATATAGGAAAGGGTTCAAACAACACCTTCATTTTACGAAAACGCGAGAACACCCTTTTACTGTACAATCACAAGTAATATTGTAGTCCATCACATGGGATACTTAATTAGAGGGGCGAACGACCTTTGACATGTGATGAGGGTGTTCTCGCATTTTCGTAAAATGAAAGTGTTCTCGATTGAACCTCCACCTACACACACACGAGAGAGAAGAGAGGGAGAGAGAGAAAGATTACCTTAAATTCCATATATGATGCACGCATTGCAAGCCATTGAGCATCCATCATAGCGAAAGCTATACAATATAGAATATCAAAAGCTTCTTCGGTTTCTGCAAGTTCTCAACAGAAAGCTAATTGATCAGAGAACTTGTGAAAGAGAGGCTTCCATCTCATCCTTAGCCTTTTCAAGTTGGGTATGTTAAACAATCAGAATTTGCAAGCTTACCTTCTAATAACTTTAGAAAATTAGCACCAGGAAGGGATCTAGGTTTAACTGAAAAAAAAAATCATCATTAATGGCAATCACCATGAATATAGTTACTTCATCATTCCCACAAAAAACGGTAACTTAGTTGTTTTCTCTTGATACTCTTTTTGTCCCAAAAGGATATCCCACACAGCAAAGAATTTTTTAGGTTGACTTTGGATCCACCACTGATTCTATCTTAGATTCAAAATTTATAATTCTTGCCAATTTTGAAATGAAAAGGTAACTTCTGATGCTTGAGTAAGGCACATGGTTTCATTTAAGTGTTTTAACTGTTGATCATAATCATCAGATGACTAAAAGACCTTTGAATGATGATAAAAAGGATGAATCTTGTGGACCAAACTCAACACCATGCATAATTTGTGCCAGTGTCACATAAAACATCTCATATAATGAAAATGACCACAAACCTGAATATAAATCCAACATTTGAATCAGCATGAATGTTATATTGATGCCAGCGACTGCAAAAGGGTATTCCCAAGTCGCTCGGTTCCCACACTGTTTATGTAATAACCTATGAAAAGCAGCCTTCATTTTGAACATTTATCATTTAGTAATTATTCGATCCATGAAATGAACACTAGGAAGTGAAAGGAAAATGAATCTAAGAGAATACAATAGTAATCCCATAAATAACTATTTGGCACATTCAAGAGCTCTTACTGGAAATGTTTTAGCAAAAAACAGCAAATTCTCAAGCGAAATAAAACCGCAACCCCTATGACAAAAAAAGTCGGTCAGGAAAATAACCTGCATAAGGTATATACATCACAAAGCATGAAGTTGTATCTAAACAATAATACAACCACGGATGCTTACCTAAGTACCACCTCTAATGTGAGAAGTACAAGGAAAATAAAAAATAAACCAATAAACAAGCCAAACCAACCTAGTAAATCCCATGTGGGTAGGGTCGGGGGTAGAATGTGCACAGAGGTTTCCTCTACCCCAAAGGGTAGAGACACTGTTTACATGAAAACCCCCGGCTTGTAAAACCAAAAAGACACAAAAGTGCAAGGTAAAAGAGTGTGTGCAAATAAGTGATGAGACATTTAACAAAAGGAAAGGCTGAAAAAAATATGTTAAAACAATCAAAGAAACATGAAGAGCAATACTAACAACTAGTAATACCAACATGTCCTATTTGAAGGAAAACTCCTCTCTCACACGTAGAACATACACACACCTATCCTGTCCATTAAAGAGTTGGCTTCTGATAAGAAAACATCCAAACCAAATACTTTCCAAATTCAAATTTGAATTCAATTTTAATTGCATTTTTTTCTATACTAGTACTTGTTATATTGTTAAAATCTAGTCATCATAATTTTTCCATATACAGGTTCTCAAAAGTGTTAAATGAAGCTAGGCAGTCGAGTGGCATTTTAACTTTTAATGGCCTAAGATGAATTAAGGAGAAGTTTATGCAGTTCATTTGAATATACAAGGCATACTCATTTTAGGTTATGTAAACATATGGGGACTAATACCGTTATAGAATCTTGCTCTGATACAATTACATTGATTTATTGTTCCAATGAGGCAATGATATGACCACTCAAAAATTAATAGAAAGATACCCTCCAATTGAGAAAAGTCAATCGATGAAACTGTAATGCCCTTGCTTCATTTTTTTGCATCACTTGATCCAACAATAATTGAAGCTTGGAGAAGGGGGGGGGGGGCCTTTAACTCCAAGGCAGCACGCTTAATACCTAGACAGCTTCTTAAGCAACCTTAAGTGGGGGTTTTAGAACACACTCCATACAAATAGAATATTTCTTGTCAATTATGAGGTAATACCTCCTCGACACTCAAAAGGTAAATGTGGATTCTTTTCAGGATGAATGTAGTAATAGAAAGGAAGCCACCAAGAATCAAGTGCTCCAATTTTGTCATACTGTAATACAAGGATCAAGAAAATGCAGTTGTACCTGAAGTCAGTAGATGGATTAGCTCCTTGCCACCCCATATCCTTCCATTGCTCAGATATCAAACCTTCAAGTTTAACGTCCGGATATGCTAAGTGCCACAAATCTATAAGAGCTTTCTGTTGATAACATTAATAATTGCATCAAATAGACAGCAAAAGTAATAAAAGTTTGCACACAATGCACTTCATGAAAAAGAATCATGGGAATAAAATAGATACGATGAACTGGTTAGCAAGGTGTGACTTAAGCTCTCTTCCTATCCTATTGGCTATGTACATAGGTGGAATTAAACAAGAGTGAAAAGAAAGGATATAAGCTTCAGTAGTTTATCTAACAAAATCACTTAATTTCTACAATATGATCTAATAATATGCAAGCCCTACTAACTATAGCCCTTTGCGAAGCAAAAACAAGTGAAGAGGGTTTGTGTCTGGCCAGGTACATTATACCTGGGTAGTCCCATAATATTAGATTTTAATGCCCTCATTAAAACCCTAAAACTTTAATAAGATAGTGCCAATGTAAGTACTTGATAAGAAATCTGCAACTTTAGTGAAATTGAATGATAGTGGCATTAACAAAATAAGCAAAATGCTGCATGATTAGGAATCATATGGCAGTGTTGAAATATACTTGATGTTCGAGGCTATCTTCGTCATATTGTATGTGCAATCTTTCTTGAAGCCTTTGAAGACGCTCCTCCTGCAGGAAGTAGAATACAAGATAAATAAGAGTTGATCAACTTCTGTACACCAACTTTACCATCAAACTTGCAGTGTTAATCTTGTTTGTAATGCTGTGACACCTGCATAAACGCACACGTAATGATCCAAGTTGACAGGGTACTAAGAATTACCTGCATAGGACTGAGAGTAGAGTCAGAGTATTTATCACTTCCAAAACCTTTGAGGCCTGAGCGGATTAAGATTTCTCCAATCAAAGTTCGTGATCCAAACATAGCATCAGCTAAGTCCAAGATGTGGAAAAGAAAACATAAAGCATTAATTTGGCATTACAAAATTGAACTTTTAATAACAAAAAGACAGAAACTTTTGTCTCTAACATCATGTTTAAGAGTCTCTACTGTCTTTTTCCATATTTGAAGTATACATTCTGAAAGATACCTAACAAAAGCTAGATGCAAATTCGCCTGTTAGAATGTTGTATGGGAAAAACAGCAGGAAAACTAACAGATAGTATCGAAGATTGGGGTTACCACCACATCCTTGTTTATTACTTTTAAGTGACAAGCCCTTTATGACTTATGGTGTTCTATCTCATGTATCATTTAATACAAGAGTATACACACACTAATTCAAAATGACAAATTCTGACAAAAGAATGTCAAGGAAAAGAAAGTGAAGATGGGGTTGGGTTTTGAATATAAGACTAGAACAACTAAAAGCTACGAAAAAATAAATGTAATTTAGTTCATTTATTAGGTAACAAAATAAAAAATGTACTTGCCCATTCACTCTGGGAATGTGAGAGCAGCAATCTAGAATTTTGGTGAGACTCAAGTTGGTTAATGCACCATTCTGTCCCACATTGGTTGTGATTGTGAATTGTAAGTCTCATATAAACCCTTGGTTGGGCCACCAATAACTTCCTACCATGGTTTAGTTAGTTTGAAAATTATCTGGGTCAGTCCCCTGCTTTGGGTTGGGTACTACAAGAGGTAATGTGGTATCCAAATTGTCGCCTGAGGTGGTGAAGGGTGATCAAGACATCGGGAGTTTAACTAAGGTTGTGACATCCCTTCCCACACTGGTACTTACGCTACACACCTATTAGTACCATGCATCAGTCCAAACCAATCGGACGATGACCAAAATTGGAAAAAGAAAATGAAACCTAGAACCGAACAGTTAGTTACAGGTCTGATTCTAGTTCAGAATCAACTTGAATTGAATAGTGGATCAGGTCCCTAGATGATGTGCTATTTTATGTGTATTGTTGTGCTCATGGTAATCTTATTCGGGATTCTTGATTCGGTTCCCCAATTTCTGCAAAATAGTTCTACAAATTAATGCATGTTACATATTGCTTAAAATTTCTGGTTTTTGCACAATACACTCGAGTCTTGACTTTAAGACTTCAAGTCTTTAAAAAATTCAACCATATATGCTCAATATCAAATTATACATGTTCAACAAGACTTTATGTATTTGTTTCATAAAATCTTTATGAAAAAGAACGGTTTAGTTCCGGTTGTGGCCAATTTTAGGATGATTATGAACTTACGAATCTGAGGACCAGTTTTCCCAAAATCGAAGACCCAAGAACCTAATTGAAGACCTTACTTTCTGACTGGTTAAGTCCAGGTCAAATTTGGTTCACCATTTTCAAACCCCTTTTGCATTCTCTGACCTCCAACCATGGTTTTAGTTTTGAACCTATTTGCATTAGTCTACTGCTTTGGGCTTGAGCTGCTACAAAAGGTGTCAAAATTGTGATCCTACAAGATGCTGTGGTTTGAACTTATGACTCTCCTAGAAACAATGATTTTGGGTTTATGTTTTAGAGCTTGATGAGGAAGTCAGAAATTTAAAAAGCAAGAAAGTTGCTCACGTCCCTTCCACATTGTTTCTCGACTTCCAACCTCCTGCCATGGTTTTGGTGGATATAGCTATTTAGGCCACTTTGTTACTTTGGGTTAGTGTGATGAGCAACTAGCTAGTTTCCATCTCAACGTAGATCTTATTAATCCACATTATTATCGAACTCCAACCAAAATGAAGTAAAAGGAACCATCTTCCTTCCTGGTATGCATAAAAAGATTGTCCTTGTTTAAAATTATACCCAAAGAATTTCAGAGTATAATAGGAAGACACATTAGCATCATCCTCATATTTTCACTAGTAAGCAACATAACTCAAACGAGGGGGAGTAGTTATACATGTTAACATGCATTCCCTAAAGAGAATTAAAATTAAATCAAAGCAATAGAAGGTGTAAAACATTTTTAACTCACTAATGCATTGAGCTAATCGTGATTTTGTGGCAACAGGTTCATGTGACAATTTCAAGATATTCCCTTTCTTGAGTCTCCAAGGATAGTCATCTTCATCAACCTGGTCGGTGATTAGAAAATAAAGGTACCAATCAAATAGTCATGTCATTCCAACTTTATGAGTGGCTAATGAAACAAACTAAAGATGATGAATACCAGTAAAGTAAGTGTAAACATGAAATCTTACAAGAAACTGAAAAACAACTCTCACCACCCTGATTAGAAGAACATAAAGCAATGGCCTAACATCCTAGATGCACCGAAATCTATGTTTGAACTTCAAAAATTCATAAAGGCATTAGAAAATTAAAAGCTCAAGAGAGTGATATCCCAATGATCTACACAAATAATGGAATTTTGGCACCATTATTTAGTTCCACTTCACAGTGCAGATTTCTAACAAATTTGGAAATGAAAATCAAAATCTGGGTCTTTAGGTGAATTCTCTAAAACATCAACTACCCCTCAATGTTTTTAAATGTCACAATAAAACAAATGAAATCAAAAGAACAAAGTATGAAATGGGTGATCAAGAAATGAAAGTACATAAAGATTGTAAGTGTTGGGGGGGGGGGGGTAGGGGAGGTTTACTTTATGATGGGAAGAACAAGAAGGTATGCATTTCCTGGGCCTAAATCTCATCAGCTAAAACCATAAAGAGAATGGGATTCACCCCATTCTCTCAACCTTTCTAACCAGAAAGGAACTGATCTCTCAAAAGCTAAAGTAAATAATTGTAAGACAGCCATACAGTGGCACTAAATTTCAACTTCTCATCATTCCAAATCAATCATCCCTCTAATTTAGGACCAAAGAACCTAATTACAGAAACTTTTGAAATTAAAAACCGCAATCAAAGGTATTTGGCTTTTTGCCCAAAAGGAAATGATGGGAATTGAAAAGTTTCTCAAAAAGGAAAGGACAAAAGACAAAAAGAGACAATACCCAATTAATATGGCCATCCAGAACACACAGATGATAAACAAACTAATAAAAAGGAACAATAACCATTCAGCAAAATAAATTAGATTAAGACAGAAAGTTCCTCAAAGGGTAAGGAGAAAGGCATATTGGAAATAGGGGAAAAACACAAAAAGAAACAATACCCATATAACATGTGAAGCAAACGATACATTTTATATGAATTGTTGATGGATTAAAGAAAAGTATAAATACCTCTTAGAGAACAAGAAATGGAGATTCTTTGAGAACGATGATGGCGATAGGAGAAGGTGAGTGTGGCGGAGCCATCTGGAAGGGTGTGGTGGGGCCACGGTTGGTAGGATTGAAGGGGGGAGAATGGCACCTGGGCTTTTTGGTGAAGGAACCCCAACAACCCTCACCGGCTACAAGGCAGAGGGTTTCTAACCGTGGCGTTTTCGTGAAAACCAGACATGTTTCTAAAATCCCGCTGCTTTATTTGTTTATTTTTCCTTTCATTTTTTTTCATTTTCAATGTTTTTGTCTAATTATTTTAGAGCCGTAAATGAACCGAAAGTTCAGCTAACCGTTTGTGAACCGTTCTGTGGAAAATTCGTTTATTTAAAAAATGAACTATTTTTTTTGTTCGTTTAGTTAAACGAACGAATATGAACAAGAGTCTCGTTCGTTCATTTACCGTTCGTTTATATTCGTTCATTTATGTTCGTTTATATATTAAATTTAATATATAATTTTTTATTTATTTACTTTGAATTCAAATAATATTTATTTATGTTCGTTTAACCTGTTTGTTTAGCCCGTTCGTTTATGTTCGTTCGTTTACGTTCGTTTAGCATGTTAACGAACGAACATAAACGAACACGAACACAACTGATTTCTAAACGAACGAACACGAACACAAAGACTTTCATTCGTTTACCGTTCGTGTTCGTTTGTTTGTTCGGTTAAGTTAAACGAATGAACATGAACAAGCTTCCGTTCGTGTTCGTTTACAGCCCTAGTTATTATTAAAATCTGAAAAAGTTATCAAGATACAATAAGATTGAGGTGGAATATATTTGAGGCCGGTTTATTAACTTATAGTTAAACGTTAATAGTCTCACTAATCAAAATGATATCATATGTAACAATCTTATTCGATAAGCGTTTACCGATAAGAGTTATCAGTCTCACTTACCGGGTAAGATTCCCAACCTTTGCTATATTTATTCGGCAAGATAAATGACTTGGTGAGCATTTGGTAACGGCTCCTTAGTGTAATGATGTGTTTTTTTCTTTCTCAATTAATGTACTTGGCTTTCAATTTTTCTTATTTTGGGTTCATGACCGAAAATTTGTAGAATATGTTATATTTTGTTGTTTGAATTTTTTTATATGTTAATCTGAAGTAGAATGTCATGTCATTTATTTACTTGATTTTTTAATTTTATTTTCATTTGATGAATTATTTTTCTTCCATCTTCTAACTCTGACCACCGCCTTCAAAAGAAAAACACACCATCCACTTTGTAAAAAAAAACAATCACAAGACAAAATCCTCGGAGTCGCCCACGATCCCTTGCGTTGTCTCGCCCCTTCACTATGGATGTCTCTCTATTCCTTCAACATCATCTCTCCACTTGCATCCATCAATTTGTTTTCCTTATTGTTTTATCAGTAGTCTGTATCACCAACCTCAAGTTCTTGAAATCTATTAACGTTGTGCAAAAGTACCAAGTTGTCATAACGTCAATCAGAACAACTGCTAGGATATGAAGAATGCTTCTGATCAAATAATTGCATTATTTGGTTTTGTTTTTGTGTAGGATGGATTGTAGAGCTTGATGCACCTGAGCCTTAGAGGTTTTGTTTTCAAACATATGTCACATCCCATTACTTTTTTAATGTAGTGCTTAACTGGGATATAGGTAGAAATGGGCAAAAGGGTGTAACTAGTTACTGTTAGGCTGGTTATGGTCACCGAGGGTCATAACCAGTTATAAAAGGAAAAATCTAGGTCCGATCATAACTGATGTAACTAGTTACGAAGATCCTATTTCTAAGAGAGGAGGACGCACGCTAGAGAAGATTATGGATTTGGATGATGTGTACTAAAGAAAAAATAGAGGATGGAGATGAAGAAAAACAACTTTTGTGGAGGAGACAAAGTGTTAGATCCCTATATCTCTAATTTCTTATTTAAAAGTATTGAAGAAAAATGCCTTGAAAGTTTTTTTAAGTGTTGAGCTCTGATCAGCTTAGCCATAAGACATCAGAGGTTCCGATCAATAGAGCCAGAGACATGTCAAGCCTCTGATCAAGCCAACCATATCACAAATCACCCTCTGGTCTTTTCAACCAGATATCTCAACACTTAAGATTTCCTGAAGACATTAAAGTTGTAACGGCCAAGAGTTCCCGCCTAAAGTTAGTTATGCACCTTTACACATGGAAGCTTCTTATTAAATGATGCATTGACTTTACCTGTTAGGGCCTATGGATACCGGCTTCATGTCTTACGTATTGCAATCTCTTGAGTAACTTTTGAACAACTTTTCAAGTAACATTTTGATTGTAATCTCAAGTATACATCTTTCTCGATTTAATTGTAACTCTTTTCGTTCTGAATCAATGTACATATGACTTGAATTACTGGTGAGATCTTGTATATTGTTCATGTTAATTGATTGATTGACAATGATCTATTGTGCTTCCACTACTATAATCTCATTTGGATCATATGAGAAATTTGGGATCTACAATCGGTATCAGAGCAAATTGATTTTGATCTTATCAAATCGATCTAATTTGTGTGATTAACTTCTCAGTTTCTGTCAATTTTATTCGATTATGCTCAACAATAGTTTTTACTCCCTATTTTGAATTTTTTTTTTGCAAAGATTCTTAATCCTATGAAAACAATGGGTTATTTCGATGAATTGAAGGTCTGCATGTTTCTGAAGATATAATGTCCAATTCAAATTGGAATTTTGTTTACAATATAGGATCTCTAAGCAAACCTCCAACTCTTTTGCGAGGGATGAATATCCCCAATGGAAGATTTGTATGATCAAATTTCTAGAAGGTCTGGATAATAGAATATACAAATCTCTTCTCAACGATCCATTTGTTCCTTCTGTTACCATCCCACAGGTACCTACGACTGCTACTACTCCTGAACTCCTATCTTTTAGCAAACCAAAATATGAAAAACATTGGGATAAAGAAGAGTAGGCTAAAGTTGAAGTTGATCAGGTCAAAAGGTTGCGTATCATGGCTCTTCCTCATGATATTTTTAGTCGTTGGACTCATGTAACAGCGCTAAAGATATATGTGAAGAATTGGCCAATCAATTAGAAGGTGGAATAAGAACAAGGAAAACAAATGAGTTTAATACCTGAATGAGTATAATTCTTTATGTGTTGTTCTAGAAGAAAGTCTTCAATCCACCTATGATCGATTTTATACTCTGATTAATAAGTGCAAAATAAATGGTATAGTAAAGTCTAATGAAGAAAATAATCTTCTGTTTCTAAAGAACTTAGATGATGAATGGACACAACTTCTTTTGACTCTTCAAGCTAACCAAGATCTAGAAGATTGAGCTCTTCATGACATATAGGACACTCTAGCAGCTCAAGAAGCCAAGATCAACAAGAGCAAAATGGTGATGGGAGGCCCTCTGCCCCTAGTCTTAAAGGAAAATGAGAAGAAACAAAAGGAAAATGCGTCCAAAGATCATGAGAAGAAAAGTGGGAAGAACAAGGCTCTTCTGATACCATCTCGTGATTCATAACTGAAGGAAGAAACTAATCCTGATGATGATTCAAGTGTATTTGTACTTTCTCTGCCCCTGATCACAAAGGAGTTCTCAAGAAAATTGAGCAAGAGATCTTCCGACAAGAGTTATGGTAACAAGAGAGACTTCAATGGAGAAAGACATACAAACACCATTTACGATCACAAGTCTTACAAAAAAATGATTATCAGAGGGAGGAAAGAGAAAAAGGAAAATAGAGATGTTAAGAATGTAGCAAAATGATCAAAATGCTACAGATGTTGAAAGTTTAGTGGTGATTACTATAAATACAACAACAAGGAGAGGAGTCTTATGGCTGAAACAAGAAATTGGATATCTGACTCCACAACTAAAAAGGAATTTTGACCAAGCTCATTTTTTTTTCTTATGACTAGAACATGTTATTCTGCTAGACTCAACTCTGAACTCTCGAAAAAAATCTAGAAAGAAAAAGAGATATTGCTCCAAAAATTATTAACTAAAAAGATTATGGTTAAGAAATATCAGGATGCCCAAGATGTGCATATCAAAATTAATTCTCAAATGGATAGACAAGGCTAAGGCTCAAGTGATCTTGAATCACTTATTCGAAACAAAGAAAACTAGTATATCATCAACTTTCAATATTTGATATACCTCAACGCGCTGTAGCCACTACTTCACTTTGAATCCGTTTATGCAATTATAAACTCACGTAATTTTATCGATTCCAAGGCAACTTATCCTTTTGAAGCTGACATAACATACTT